ATTGAACAAGTTATTTTTTCTTACAGATCTTAAAAAAGAATATTTATAAGTATGACATTGAAAAATTATAGAAATTATTCTTCATATTATTGAAAATTATTTTATATATTGTCTTATTTGACGATCATTTTCAATAGTTACTAAGGATTCTATAATACTTTCATCACTGATACGCATTTCTATTGTAGTCAGTGATCCATCATCGTTTTCATTTAACAAAAAATTTCCTTAAACTTCATCAAATAATACCGGTAAGAATAGATATTATTGAAAAATGAAGATCATTTTTTAGTCTTGATTGATATGATCGTCTTCACGTAAAAAAAGAGTTACAGAAATATTTATCAAAACAGATGAACATGAACATGTGAAAGAACTAGAAGAATTTTCTCATAATATTTGTCTATGGTTCATCTATTCAAGCTTGTTTAAATATTCCTGGTGAGATGACATAAGAAAATGTTTTTTCTCTTAAGAATTTCGTTGAATAGTATAATAGGAAAATGAAAAGTAAAATATTTTTTAATTGATTATTTAAAAAAAACAAGAAAAATCATTCTTGAAATAAGTACACCAGAAAATGGTCAATTTTGAGTATAATTCTATCGTAGAAGAGATAAACTTGTTATTATAGAAATGTGATATGTAACATATTGATTATGCTTGAATTCTTCTTTTATCTATTGATGATTTAGCTAAAATATATATAACTAATATTGTAATTGATAGATTTCGTCAAACTCGAATAGAATATATGATAGTTGTTCGCCGACGTCGACTAATCAGAGTCTTATAATTTATTATAAAATCGTTGCTAAATTAATTAGTTTACAATCAATTAGAACAAACAAAAAAAAGATTAACCGAATTAATCTTTTAAATAGTTTGAATAAGTTTAGATATTTGAAATTATTATTATTTTATTTTGAATGATTGAAAAATAATTCTCAACAATTTTTAGTATGTTGAATTTTGCAACCATCGAAAACAATTGTTGAAAGTCATCATTTCGAACATAGACAATATTTATTTAGTTGCCATTTTTCTCATCAAAATCAAACTATACCATCTCCTATTGTCATTAAAATTATAGATTATAATCATATACGAAGAGAATCTTGCTTTTTTCTTATTGAGTTAAAAAATTCAAATATTTAATCGAAAATCTAGTAGACTAAAACGGATTGTCTCTGTGGGGGTCTATAGATGGTACTTCTCATTTCTAGAGTAACCACCATAGATGAGGGACTATCAATGTAATAATGTAGGATGTTATCTCATTCATTGAATAGTTAATCAATATATATTCGTATGCCATTTGATTATAGACTGACCAATTTCGATCAGTCTGACAAAAGAGAAACAATCATATCTTGGTAAAGAAATTTTAATCGATATGAAAAAAATGTTGAAATTTTCTAATTTATTGATATAACTATGACAAGTGTGACATATTGCATTAATAAGTTGAAAACAATTTATTTATTTTTCAGACGTTATCACATTGTCCACAATGAGTATGAAGAAATGTTGCATGGTGCATATGCATAGATATCATCTATATAACCATTATTGATAGAACTTCAAATAGATCAATTTATAAAAAATGCAAACAAATTTGGTACCGTTGACAAGTTGAGTAATAAAATTGTTAAATGTTGTTATTAAAAAAAAAAACGTTTCGTTAATGTATTTTTGAAAAAGTATCTTGACCAATTCTAAAATAGATACTAGAAGAAATTATAAAGAACAGAAAAATTTTCTTTCTAAAATAAAAATCTTACTTACTTGCTTTTTATCTTGAAGTTCATCCAAAAAAAATCAAAGTCGAAATGAAACCACCTAGAAATTATTTTTTCTACCTAAGTCAATAGTTATGTTTCAACTGCTCTGTTATATTCATCAATAGGACAACTACATAAATAATTCTCATTCTTCAACTAGCAATACCTTTTATTTAACATTAACAATTTAAAAAATCCATGAAAAATAACTTAGTTTTACCGAGCAAGAAAATCTCAATGGTTAATAAAGATCTAACAAGCATAACTAAATGATCTACATTATTTAGATAACGGTAAATATCTTTTTATCATTCGAAGATCAGCTTTTACTCTTCTTGGAATAAGTAAATAATAATAATGCTCCAAACGCACTTTATGAAAAATCAAAGTGGGAACAATAATGTGACTATTGTTGCTTATCAGAAGACAATTGTTTTATTAAGTCTATTTTTGAAAATATTTCGTCATCATTCTGTTAGTTGATACTCAATTATTATTTCTGATAAAAGAGAGAAACGAGTAAATTAATATAATTTATATATTAAAATTTTCTTTGGTACGGTTATAACGAGCAAAAATCTAAAAAACATATTTGTGCATCTAAAATGATTCTTTATTAGGGTAATCTAGTCGAAATGCTCGAATATAATCAATTGAATGAGTATTTGTGGAAAATGATTATGTCAAAAATAATATTTCTTCTATCTATTTGAAGATTTTGAAAATGTCGATCTCTTGATGAATTTCCTTCATCCAACTACTTTTTCAATCCTCTCGAAATCAAAAATACATTGAGAATTCGGTGATGCTTTACTTTTATTTATAAAATAAAATTTTTTTCACAGATCTTAATCGAAGAAGTTCGCTTGAACTATTCGAAGGTATTTCCACTTATAGAGAATTGTTTACGTCACATAGGGTGCGGGTGTGTGGATGTGAATGTGGGTGTCCTTTTCATCAACACCCACACCCTCTTCTTTTTCTTCTTCTTTATTTTCTCTGTTATTTATTATTATCTTTTTCTTTATTAAAATCAATAAAATTATTAAAAAAAAAAAAAAGATAAAAATTATTTAAGTATCTGTGATATTTATCTTTGTTATCTTCATTAAACTCTTGTTGAGTTGTCAAAATTAAAAACACTTGAATAATATAAAGTCTGAAGAAACGAATATTAAATGAGATACAATTGAAATATTGAGAGGCGCATTTTCTTTTGAACATCTGATACATAGAACCGATGATAAACGTTATGTAAATTAAGTTTATATAGTAGAGAATAAACGGTTTTTTGTTCAGCTGAGTAATGAATGTTTATTTTAAAAAAAATCAAAGCAATTATATACTGTCTGTTGAGACCTTGTTGAATATGGTCAACGATTCGTACTTTTAGTCTTATATATCCACCAAAATACAGTATCACTGCTTGAATCCAAACCTTCTTGCATAATCTTTGAGTGAAAAATTATTCACCAACAGATGTCTGTTCCGTCAATCTTCTTTATCTTGCATATTCAATAGCTGGTTTTTTTTGTTCATCGTTCATGTCTATGTTAAGAATTTTTTTGTTATTTATTTTCTTCTGAATTAATAAAAGCTAGGCATACACTGAATTGGAATTTCCATTCGGAAACGCAATGCAAACGGTTTAGATAGTGTTGAATATTTAGGTAATTATTCAAACGTTTCTTTAGCTACATCGGTGATCATGGACGCATCCTAAAGTGTAATCAAATTGGGTACTTTTTAACATTGTTGATTTTGTTGTGAAACACGATCTAAAAGAAGCGTTGTAGTATAGGATTAACAATTCACGTTCCCTCACAGTCCACGACAGACATTACCATGAAAGATCGTATCTCAACAACGTGTCATTATATAATATATGAACTACTTTCTTATTGCATTTCTCGAGGATTTAATAAAACGATGGTGAAGAAATGTGTTCCACAAATAGATAGAATAAAACCATCTTCTTGTGATTAGCAATACCAGCTACATTGTGTCATACATTTTAATCACGCAGGAATTGCGCTAATTTCCGTTGTTGAATCATTTATTCTGCTTTGTTAAGCTCTGGCATAGCAACCCCTTAAATCGTTTCTTTTTATTTACTTCTAATTTCTCTTATTAATTAATTAAAAATAACTGCAGTTAAGACCAAACCGAATCATTTGAGTTCTGTATATATCTAATAAAAGTCAAACTATTTTATTAGTAATTTTTACAGTTTATTCAATTTTCAGAGCATGGAAGCGTATCCTCATTTATGTTGCACTGCAAATCGATAATACAAAGAAAAGAATATAAAAAAAGTTGCAGTTATTCATAACAAAAGAAAAACTATGCATACATTAAAAACAAAAACACCCACTGAGAAATAATGGAAATAAGCATGGAAAAAAAAACGAGAAATAATATGGTTGCCTCGTTAATTAGGTGAAAATTAGATGATATTATGTAACAAGAAAGTATATAGTATGATTACTAGAGATCAGTGTGACAAAATTTTTTTTTTTGATCATGATGATCCGAACTCATGACTGTGAATCATGAAAGTTCTTTGTAGTTGTTACGACTTGTTATCGTAAACTATGTATATTCTTGACAAATGTCAGATATATCGATTCTATAGTTAGAAGCGACGAGAATATTTTACAGCGAAAAGAAAGAAAACAAAAATTTGTAATATTGAATGAAAAAAAAAATTCATCTTATTGAGTAAAAAACGGACAAAACCCCTACAGAATGGAAGCTCATGTGGAATTCCTTAGTTTTATAAGCTATAACTTTGGAAGCAGATTTATATTGAAATCGATTGTTTCTTTAGATCACCAGAAAGATTCATTATCATGTATTTTTTTACTGATTGATATCCAATTGGGATAAAGTGAACTTCAATTTTTGTCGAATAATTATTATCTTAGGGGTCGATGAACGAGTCAACTCATTTGCAGGTTAAAAAAAGCATTAGGATAAATGTGTTTAGCTATTTGGAAGGAATAAATTATCAAAATGAGTTTAAAAAAATGAGAGTATTTTTTTCTTTATAGGAGATCTAAGGCAATTAAAAGAGAGAGAGAGAATATGAGATTGTTGTGATGTTCATGACTAACGTCCAGTTATAGTCGTGGTCATGAACTTTTAAAAATATTAGTCACGATCATACCGTGAGTAACGACAGTCTCTAATAATTACATGATTTTTATCATTGAATTAAGTGTTATTTTTTTGTTCAACTATGGTCATTTTTTCGTTATCATTTAATGGTCGTTCACTTAATTCTTGATGTATTACTTCCATTACAATTTTTTTATCATGATATTGATTTGTTAATTGATCAACATTTGATTGTTGTTGTTGTTGTTGTTCTTGAGTAGAGCCAGTTTTTTGTGAAGATGAATATGTTGGTTCATCAGGTAAAAGTAATTTATCAAATTTTATTGGTCGTCGTTTATTATCATTATTGGTTAAACGAATTGATGATAAGTTCTTTGGTAATAATAAACGTTGTTGATTAATTCGAGCTGGTTCTATTTTTTCAATAACTTTAGTTCGATGATTATTATTTTCAATATTTTGTTCACGTTGTTTTTGTAATGGATTTATTGTAGGTTTTCTTGAAATATTTTCTTCTTCTTGATGTATACTTAAATTTTCAACTGTTTCATTATCTTCATTTGGTGGTAATCTTATGAGTTGTCTTGGTATAGGTGGGAGTGGTCGATAAAGAACTTCAGTTGGACGACGAGCAGGAATATATGGGAATATATCATTCATTGTAGGTGGAGAAGAATGAGTGGATATACCTGAGAATTGTTTTGGACGTATTGATGTTAGAGTATATGCAGAAGACTATATAAAAAAAAAAACAGATTTATAATTTTTTAGAATTCTAGGCATAGAAAAACTGTCATCCTTCATAACATTAAGTGAATGCATTTTATTTACAATGTTTCTTTTAAAATATTTTGGATTCATGATCAATCTAATTGGTCACTTGACTGGTACGTTCTGATAAAATTGAAGAATATTATGTGTGACTGCTCGAATTCGTCTTTTTACTATTATTGTAGTGTTTTCGTTAATATTATTTTTACTTGATTTTTTTATCAAGTTTGACCACAGGAGGAAAAAGCAAAAATCTGAATTACATTGTACTTCAAGGGTATGTCAATGCTATCCTCTAGAACCTTTTTAATTGTTTCAAATTTACTGATTACAATGAAGTATTTGGACTTTATGATCACATAGACTTATTTAAAATGAACTTAAACTAATATACTCGTGACACACACATTGATAATAGACTTGAAATACTTAAAAAGTTTTAGAGGATAACTTTGACATACACTTGTAGCACAGTGAAGTACAAAGTTTTTCTCTTTTTCCTCTGTGATTTTGACTCATGAGTAAGGTTCTCAAGCAGGGAGGTTCCTCCTAAAATGTCCGACTTTCTGTCAATTTTTTACAGCTTCTTGATAACTTTGCATAGTAGTCGGGTTTTCAAAAACACCATTTATCTTTCTTTGGGAAAAGTGAAATAAAAATAAGCAGACAATATCGTTGCGAGATGAATAGGATTGGATGAGGGGAGGCTCCAGGGGTCTGTTCCAATGAAGTCAAAAAAAGATCAAAAAAATTTCATGACTTTCGTGAATTTTATATTAAAAACACGAACAAAATTGCATGAAACGGACAAAAAAATTGATGTTTTTTATAAATTCATTGATCAAAAGCGACATTTTAATTAAGCAAATACAGTGAATTTCACTTTTAATCAAAATCATGCAATGAAATTAATGAATTTTTTAACTTCCTGAGTTGTGGGAGGAACCGAGTCGTGGTGGGTTTCCTTTCCATCGGTCACCACTACTAGTACCCCAAGGATGACAGTAGTTTCTGCCGAATTTTCAGCTCCTCCCACTTCTAGAAAATTTTGACAATCCTGCTCATAAGAACATTTTTTAGTCACGTTTGATTGTAATACATCAATATTTTTATGTAGTAGCAATGCTTTAATTCAGTTTTGATTCTCAATGAAAAACGATTCTCTTTGTCTCAATAAATTTTCTTTCAATATATGATATAAAGGATAACACAGAAATAGTGAGGCGCCTTTGTAATCAGTTTTTTTTTTGTTGTCTTATGTGACTGATGATAATTTTTAGAAAATGTTCATTCGATAGAGAATTTCATTTAGAAGAAAACCTACTATTTGGAATTAATGGAATTCAATTATTTTTGAAACAATATTCATAATATGCATAGATGAAAATTTGAAAACTATGTCATGCTCTTTTCATTTTGTTTGTAAACGTTATAAGTTGCCACTATGAATGAATATACACAACATTTGTATATGATTCTATAGCAAATTTTGTGTTTTATCAATTTGGCTAGTTTATAAGTTTACCAGACTTCCTTCACACCCACACAGATTTATCATTCACAATTTCTCTCAGTCTCCTTGCGAAAAAAAACTCATGATCTTTTTAGTTTTTAGTATGCATGCAAAAGTTTTTATATATGAAACAAACAAACAAACGTAGAATTTAATTGTGAACAGATCAATAGAACTATTTTAATTTGGTCTACAGTCAAAAAGTTTTTCAAAACAAAAAGATTTTCAGATGATCAATATTGAACATGAAGAACAAGTTTCTCTCTGAATAAAATTTTAAATAGAATCTTCTTTCTTTCTTTTTTTTTATAAAGAATTAAATTCTCTTATCGAATGATCTCTTTTATGAAAATTTCCATCGATCATATAAGATATCAAAAAATTCCTTATTATTCATGCATCATCAGTTAATATATTAGAAAACAAACAAACATGCACTGTTATGCAAAATGTCCGATTTACACAAAAAAACCTGGCTGTATGTCTATAATCATCATATGTAGTCAAATTTTTAAAATTTTATTTCACATATACTTCTGTGAATCAGTATCCAATCGCTAAATTCTTTTGTTTTTTTTTTTATCTTGAATCATATTCGTTTAACTTTATATTTATGATAAAGATTGTATTATGGTATAAATTTTCTGTGCAATAAGATAAGTTCCAATATGGAACAATGATTATAACGCGAGGTGCATTTATTTTATTTGTTTGTGCATAGGGATAGTCTTATGAGATATATAGAATTATGTGATTAACAGTAAGAATAGAAAAAAAAGAAAAGAAGATTACATATCATAGATATCAGTTACCCGTGATGGTTTAGATGGTCCTGTTCGTAATCGTGTATCGGATAATGTACGACGAGAAATATCAGATAATCTTTTTTTATTTTTTGCTTCAATTTGTTGAGCATATTGTCTTGTTTTAGTTAATGTATCGAGCTATAAGAAAGAAAAAACAAATAAATAGATAAAATTGAAATTTTAATATAAATACAAAAATCTCTATACTTTTTCTTTATGAGTAATATTTTCAAAATCAGAACCAAGATGACCAGTACCAAAACCATAATTCTTTTTAAATTGTTCATAATCACGACCAGTATAAGGTTTAAATTGTGAATTTCTTCTTGACTGATTCAGTTTTGCTAAATATGAATCTTCAAGGAAAAAAAAATAAGCTTAAATCGTATGTAAGCTACTCGAAATTAATTTTATTACCTTCTTCTCGACCTTTATCACTGTAATTATAATCTCCTCCATAAATTGGTGGATTATATCCACTACGATTCATTCCTGTTGTCATTCTTCCATATCGACCCATCGATGGATTAATACCTGTACTTGGTATTATTGGACTTCGTTGAGGTGGATTTGTTGCTGGTAAAGTCTAATAGAACAAATTTAAATAATTAAAACTCAAAGAATTAATCTTACTTCATCAATATTACGTTCTAATTTTCGAATATGTCGATCTAAAGGATATAAATTAGACCAAGGCGGATGATCTGATGTTTGTTGCTGTTGTTGTTGTTGTTGTTTAAAATTTTGTAAATCAACAAGACGTAAATCAATATTTACTGAAATTTTATCTCCATCTTGACTGATATGACTCTCTATAAGAAAAATAAAAAGAAATAGCTATATATATATATTTTTTTTTTTTTTGAAATTAAAATAATAAATTTACCAAGTGGAATAGTCACTGTTGCAGGTAAAGATTCATTTTGTGAATTATCACCTGTATTTAAATTAATTGTTACAGGTAAACTTGATTGACGTTGTGGTTTAATTGATGATGGTTGTATTTTAGGTTCTTGTTCATATTTTTCATTTCCATAATCATTATGAAGATCTTTTCTTTCTACATATAAATTTTCATGTTTTCGTATTGGTGAACGTTGATAAAAATTTTCTTTATTTTTAATCATATCACTATGTTCTTCCGTATGATTTGGTTTTGTTATTGGTTGTGAATGATAAAGTGTACGTTGTGGTGGTTTAAATAAATTTGATGATTGTTGACTACCAGAACTATTCCATGTTGAACTTGAACCAAATGTACTTTTTCCTCGATTAGGTGATTCACGTTTTTTAACATTTTTTTCGTGAACTTTAGCACTTGTACGTTGAAGTTCATTCCAAATAGCTTAATAATAAATAAATGAAAATTTTAATTTATATTTGGAAAAATTTACCTTGCCGTTTAAAATCTTGATCTTGTTGATCACTACTACGATGACTCGTTGTAGATGATTGTTGTTGTTGTTGATGTTGTTCGTATTGATTATCTTTATTATCTGTAAAAAACATTTCTTGATTACTTGATGGATTTATTTGACGTACAATTTGTTCTTCATAATGTTGTTGAGGTGGAATTCTTTGATATTCATTAAATAGATTTGTATTTTGTTGATTAGATGGACCAGAATGTAATGATGACGGTTGAGTATTTATTGGATTTGGAGGTAAATTAGGTCGAACATAGGATGTTCGTTGAGTTGGTGATATATGAGTATATGGTTGATCAAATGTAGTGTTATATTGTTGAGGCGGTGGTGGTGGTGGTGGTAATGGTGGTCTAGAATTAGGCACATAATTTTGTCCAAGTGTATTAAGTAATGGTCGTTGAAATAATTGATCTTCTGGACCAAAATAATTTAAAAATGCTCCTGAATCAGTCGTATAAGATGAAGTCATAAATAGATTATTATTATCCATATTTGGTAAACGAGATGGTTGTTGTTGTTGTTGAGATTGAGAATAATTTGGTAAATTTATATTCGAAGTTGAATATGGATTTGTTTGATATTGTTGTTGTTGTTGTTGTTGTTGATCTTTTAAATCAAGACCATCATATAATTCAGCTTCAAACAAAGCATCAGTTACTGTTCGATTTGCTATGTTTGTTAAAACTGAAAAAAATAAAATTTTCAATTAAATCGACTATTATTTTCTGTATTCGGTTTTTTTTTCTTCTTTTGTTCTTTGTTCTTATGACAACCGTAACTCGTAAACAACATTTATTGTTAATACCATTTTTACGATTTTTGCCAACTCTTTTTGAAATATGTTTTTTTTATAAATAGAAGAAAACTTCTAAATGAAAGAAAAACGAACTATTACATGCCCTCGTGTTATGTCTTTTTTCTTTTTTTACTTCAATCAACTATATTTAAATACAATTAAAAGCTTTACTTCTAGCTAAATAAATCCTGTCAAATGCGCAAAAGAAAAACAACAAAAGAAAACATTACCATCATTAGGTTGAGATGAATCAGTTGGTCGAACAAGATTAGGTTGATAAGGCACTGAATTTCGTCGATAGATAGGAGGAGAAGTAGGCGGTGGTGGTGGTGGTAGTGGTGGCATTTGTTGTTGCTTAGACATTGCATCAAGTTCAGCAAGTAAAGGGCCAAGTAGTGGATCTTGTCGAGGATTAGTTCTATACATAAAGTATATTTATTTATACTTTAAATAACATATATATATATATATATACCTTGGCATATTTGTTAAAGTATTAGATAATTGTTCTTGTGATTTAATTGGATATGGTTCTCTTCGATGAGGTATTTGAGTACGAGTATTATTAGTACCAAGAATATCTAATTCAAAATCAAGTGAATCCATTAATGCTGCACCTGTATGTACTGGTACTTTTGTGTCAATTATAGAACCTGTACGATCAGTTAAACGACTTGAAACATATCTATACATATCTTCTTCTTCTTTATTACCAAATGATGGTGATTCTAAATAAACTCTTCGTCCAAGTAAACCATTACCATCGTCATCTTTATTTGATAGATCTTCTTGCATATTAGATTGTTTAGAAAATAAATATTTTTCATTATTAAAATCACCAAGATATCGATTATCAACTATCATTTGATCATATGTATTCATGATTAAATTGTTTTTGCAAACATGTGACAAAACAATATATAAATTACATTTATGTTAACGCCATTATATCTCTCGAACGATTACCATAACAACAACTCTTTTACTTATAATTTTTGAATGAAAATGAAAATTTCATATAGATGTCAGATATAATGTTCCATTAATATTAAATTTATTTTTATTTATTAATAAAGAAATATTTGATTTAGTAAGAAGAAATGTTAATTAATTTTAATTGATTTATTTAAAAAAAAAATATTCTCGTAAAATGATTTTATCGATCGGAAGTTTTTAAAATTCTAACATCAATTTCTGTACCATGGTACATACTTTATGCCCTCAAACTCGAAATTGAGTTTTTAATCAAAACAGAGACGGGGGGAGGGATACTCTTAAGTATTAAATAAATTAAGCAAGTGACTTGATACATAAAAGTGATTCATCTCGTCAAATCTATCATTTTTCCTGATAATAAACTTGATTTTTATCTTTATACAATGTTGTTGGTTTTTCTATAGAAATTTTATAAATTTTATTTTTTAATCATTGCAATGACATTCATTTTTATTCTTTAATACTTTTCTTAAAAATTTCTATTTAATTTCCAAATCATAATTGAGTACAATGGATAAAAATTCTTTTTATCGCCGATTGATGTAAATCAAATTAGTAATATTTCTGCAAATAATATACAGTCATAAATAGTAGGATATTGATTATGGAAATTATATGCTTGGCATTTAAATATTTGAAATTGAAAACTTTTCGGTTTTTTATTATGCCTATTATTCTGCATTTTCTTCGTATTTGGAATAAGATGTAATTATATATCTATATTAATTTATAAATATAACATAGAAATCAATACAGTCAGTTATATTAACACAATTTCTATTGCAAATATTCTTCAAATAATGAAATTTTAGTTGATCACAATCATATGTTCAGACTCATCATCTAATTCTTAATAATTATAACATCACATCTTCATGTCTACAGCATTGAACAATCAATCGAACCATTCAATAATTTAATAACAAAGATCGTCACGTCTCAAGTCATCCCATATGGAACAAGTACGCTTGTCAACGACCATAAATTATCTTATTGGCGCACTACATGGCTCCGTGTTACGATCATATGTAGTGAAATATAGAGTATACGTCGATTTCGTATTCTGCATCCTAAGATACTACTCATCGGTTAATTTGAATCTTAAAGGGTAGATGTCTTTTTTTATAATCCTACGCGATTGTCATTTGAACCATAGTAACCATATAAGGTAACTATGTTACAGACAAACGAACACAGATGAATTATTACTTCTAGACCTTCTACTTACAGTCTATGGAAGAGTAGATTATTAGTGTACACTAGAGATATAGGGAACCAACTTTGATTTCGAGATCGGAACAAAATATTATAGTTAAATGTTGTATAGTTTCCAGTGAATTATTTTATAAATCGCACCAATTAAAGCATAAGTCAGGAGAGATGGCAAAGTATTATTGATCAACTAAATAAATAGAAAAAAAATGAGTATTTAATGATTTTTTTTTAGTTACTATGCAAATGAAGTCTGGAACTATTGGAAATAGATATTACCAAAATCGGAACTAAAAAAAGCTTGCTCCTGCATATATCCAGCGTACACTGATCAATGTTTAACTACATCACATTCAAGATAAATAAATATTCTCATCATTCTATATCAAAAAATCTATTGATTAAGAAGATTAATTATTCTAGCAATTGAACTTTTTCTTGGTTAAATTTATTTTAAGTTATATGATTCAGTCAGTTGCTATTATTGTTGAATGCGTTCGTTTGTTGAGTAACATTCGAGCAATTAGTAGGATTGAAAAATAATTTATCTAATAATATTATTTTATTGAATATAATTGGGTATATGCACAAAAGTTTGATACAATAGTTAACGGTATATTATTTTTAATCTCACAATGTTTTATTATTTTTGTGAAATTATAAAACATTTTTTTATTATTATTGAATCAGTTAGAAAAGATAAATTAAAATTATATATTATTATTGAAGTTGCTGGATTAAATATTAATACCATACCTACGTCTTATATTTATTCGCACTATTGTCGATATTAGATTGGCAGTCAAAGAATAGCCAATCGCTTAAGTGTAAAAACTGCCATCGGTGTAGTACACATTATACAGAACGGTTTGTTGATAGTGTACCGGCGGTTTTTGCTCAGTGCGAATCACATGAATAGATTTAATGATTCGTGAAATTTGGCAGATTTTTCTTTATAATAGCAAAATGCTATTAACTTTTGTTATTTAGATGATTTAAGTCATTTTCATTCATACGGTAATAAATGAAAAAATTAAAAAAGATAAATGTCGTATTGAACTAGGTGATGGAGAACTGTCATGCTTACATGATAATCATACTGATCACAATGATTTATTAATTCTTTCTTGTTGTGCTATGGTCTAAACGAACTCGTTTAGCAGACTTTCACATATCATACTAGATTATCCATGTGATAACTACTGCCAGTATATTAACTGGTATAATATATATGCATATTGGCAGCTCTTTTTTTTTATGCGTCTGAACCACCCGTACTAGCCACAAAGCCAAAATCGATCCCAGTTATCAGAAAAATTTTTAGTAGTAGATATATTTTGAAACTGTTCTTCGTGGTTAATTCGAATTTAGGTAGAAATACAGTCTACAATCATTTATAGTTGAAATCGAAAGTCATAAGCACTATCGTCGGTATACTGGTGGTAGTACGAACAAATGTATGACATAGGATAGTCTTTTTAATGAAATTTTGATTGAGAGCAAGTGATTTCTGGAAACATCCAGAGTAAAGAGTTTTGAGCTGTAATATAGTCTATACGTAGATTTGATAGTTCTGAAAGTTTCAACATGTCTTTCTCGAGATATTCAATTTTCAAGTAGACTTGATTACTCAATCTCTCTATGTTGAAACTTTCAGGACTATGAAATTTATCTATAGACCAAATTTCAGGTTCAAGGTCTTTACTTTGGGTTCTTCGGAAATGCCTTGATGCCAATCAAAATTTCATTAAAACGCCTATATCTTTTCATCAGTAGGTCATGTATCCAAATCCCCTTAAGACTTTCCGTAGTCTCACTGAGACTTACTCGTAACTATAATCTAAATTCAAATGATATCTAACAGTTGGATATGTTCCCTCATACGACAAGTTCAATCGTGGTCTTGGTAAAATTGATAAAAACTTATATTGTCTAAAGTAAGTCCTTCTAAATGTTTTTTTTGTATTTCTCGATAGAACTTGATAAATGAAGTTTGTTTTTGATTATCAGCTAATAATAATCATATTGACCTCATATACAGTCAAATTTTTTTTTATAAAATATATAAGAACTTCAACCTATTGTTATTGGTGATAGTTCAAAAAACGACCACAGATTGAAAAACGAGTATCAAAATTCAGTACTGAATATAATTACCAGACAGACAAGAATATTAAGAAAAAATTTTTCATACTATAATACAATTTATCACTACATTAAGTTTATTGAAGCAAATAATTAATCTAGCCTTTCTTATTCGTGCATAACAAAATAAGTAACAAAGGAATTTTTCCTATTTTTATATGTCTCAGAAATATATTATTTAATGATTAAGCGCCGATTTCAAGCATGACATCAACATTGACTTATTATTCAACAATTTCTGCTTGTTTTTTTTCCTAGTTATTAATGAAATAGTCAAGTGTGTAGGGTAACAAATACCAGCGAAAGTTAAATTCGATATTATACTGAAAGATAAATCACTCAACATAAGTAAAATGGAAAATCATTGCATGTATACTTGATAAATAAACAACAATAAAAAGAAAAAAAGTTTGATTCACTTCCTGATTTATTTCCTAAACAAAATCTTACATTGATATTTGATAAAAAAAAAATATAATGTTTTTTATTAGAAAGCTCATGCTAATTATCTCTAACCAAGGTAACAATCAGTCTAGTCTTTTTATATGGCTTTCCCCGTTAAAACTAGAACGAATAGCATATTTTTAATGTGCACTTTTATCATATATGGAAATTTCTTCCATTGAAACAAAAAATTCTTTCTTTTTTGCCATGCATATGGTAAATAAACAAAAATCGAATGAGTTTTTCAATCTTATGTATACATGAAGTATTCGACAGAGCAAGAGTAAAACAAACGTTTCTTTTTCTTCCTTCTTTCACTTCTATTTCATTCTTGGAGAGTTTTTTTTCTTCTTCTTCGTCTTCTTCTTTTTTTTTCTTCTTTTCTTATAGAAATATAAATCGACACAAGAGATGTTGATGGCATCTCAGTCACCGACGACCACTATTCAAACATTACCTTCAGATCAGCAATAGCAGCAGAAAAAGCAACAAGAGTTTGGAGGTATAATAAACAGCAAAAAAAAAGAGCAGTAGAGAATAATTCAATTTCAAAAAAAAAAATCAATGGAATTCGATGATGATATACATTTTAATAATAATATCAGTGATGATATCAATGAAAATCATTCATTAGATGAAATAATTAAATCATCAAATATTGATGATGATTCTCATTTATTAACTGAACAAACAATATTAATAACTTCCAATCGTCGACCTATAAGATCATCAGCTAATCGTCGAATAACTGGTGATAATGAACAAAATACATCATCAAATATAAATGAACCTGATCCTAATGTCTTTCTTATTTCATCTGATACAAATTCTCATAATACAATACGTAAAACAAAACATGATGTTAAACGTTTTGTTATGTATATAGATG